TGTCATCCTATTTATAGATAGGCAGAGGGTGGGCATCGGTTTGCACCACTGCCTTTTTCATCGCCAGATATGAACTATTTCTAGTCCTAATTCACGTCGGAAAAGGAATTAGGATGTTAGGTGGTAGCGGGTACGACGTCGGTTCAGGCCGCCGGCCACTTTCTTTTTAGAGACAGACTAACCCTTGTTTATGTAGAAAAATAAAAACTAGCAACGATTAGGTAGGTTTGAAATGGCGTGTAATCATCGTTTGGGATCGTTGCTCATTTTCCTTCTCAATTTCTAAGTTTGCCCTCCATATTTTAGAGGGATTCATCAATTTCAGCATCTTTGAACCTCCTTGCTCTATCTCTCCTTTCATTTCTGATGGATCTCAACAAAACAGACTTTGAAAGTATCAAAAAAACATGGGAAGTAATTGCTTCTACTCCTTAACATAAAACTAAAAATAAACAAATTTAGAAATTCGAGCTGTCTCCACGGTAGCACTTTTATTTTGCATCCTTAAGTTGGATGCTAGACATAGATTGCCTCCCATGAAGCGCTATTTCTTTTACTCCTTTGAGCTATGCATAGCTTCTCATCCTTCAAGGTCCCCAACTTAAGGCTTCCTATAAGTCCATCGTTTTGATTGCAGGCTCTAAGTGTGACCCGCCATTCTTCTTCTTTTGGTTTGATAGTAGATCATGAAGTAGTATCCAACTTAGTCTCCTCCTAGCAAATTTTACCCCACACTTTGAATGTTGAATTTTAGATATGTGGTAGAGGTAGTGATACAAGAAGGAACTCATGTATTACCATCATTAGGTTAGATATGACGCTACGGTCTCATGGATCTTCATAAATTCTACAAATGGATCTCTATCAAGTAGCCTATTGAGATCTGGCTTGACTCCTTGATGCATCTCCACCAAGATTTCAAATCTTTCTTCATGGTATGCAACCTTAGGAATATCATCCTCTACCTTTTCACCAAGAGTGCCCTTTTAAGTGGTGAACTCTTCTTGCTCATCCCTTACTTCTTGAAGGTTCTTGTTTCCAAGGTTTCTATAGATCCGTGAGATATGATATAAGGGGATCTAGAATGGGTTCATCCTCTATAAAGCTTGGTAATTCTATGCATAGATCATCATTTCTTGGAGTAGGTGGGATGACTACTCCTTGCTTTTCTTCCTTTGTTGTAGAAGGTGATGTAGAGGTTTCTTCTTTTCCAAGATCTAAGTGGTAGTCTTTGTCAGTTTTCTCCTCCCAACTCGAGTTGAACTCTTGATGGGTTTGTCTTAGAGTTTCCTCCATCGAGCTAGATGATATTTTTTTCTTTGATGAACTCCTCCATAATATCTTGGATGGTGGGGGCATTTTACGCTTCTAGGTTGGATTCCATGTTGGTCTGGTCATCAGCCTTTCCGATAGGAGGCTCCTCTTGAAACTCCTCATTTGGTTGGATAGATTGAGATGGTTGATCCTCCTTGTTTGAATTATCCTTCACAATCTATTCCTCAATCCACGGTTCCAAGAGTTTTGTTGAACTTAGAATAAGATGTGCAGGGGGGTCATCATACTCGACTCTTCCTCCTAGATGTTTCCAATGGTGGATGCCTTGGTAGCATTAGCAATGAAGTTGAGTTGCTCCTCAAGGATATTCACCTCTATCATAATTTGGAATTCCTCCAATGCGTGGTTGGGACTTGAGCACCATTCACACACCATTACCATGCTCTTTCCTTGGCTTTTATCCTTCATCAACACCTTGATCAACCCATCAGTCTTTGCCTCAAGTGAAGGGCTTGCCTCGGTAGCATGGACTCCTTTCTCAGGAGTCCTCCTTCCTCTCCTTTTCATGCCCCAATCATACCTCTTTGCCGCCATTTCTTCGAACAACTCGGTCATTTGCGGGGGTGTCTTGTTGAGCATGTTCTCTTGACACAACGAATCAATGAGCATGCGGTCTTCTTGGAAGAGACTTTTTAAAAGGTTTCAAATATAGAAATATTCATCAAAATTGTGGTGATGGCTTTGAAGGAAAATTTCGGAATGGCGCTCCAAGCATCTCTCAATGGTTCATCTTATTCTTAAGCAAAATGAGTGATCTTCTTTCGAAACTCCAACGTCTTGGAAGGTGGAAAGTGCCTTGCTATGAACTTTGTCAACAAGTTATCCTAGGAGACAATCGAGAGGAGGTCGGTTGTTGAGCCAACATTTTTCCTTGCCACTTAGGGAGTATGGGAAAAACCTCAATCTAAGCGCTTCTTGTGGCACTCCATTCATCTTTAAACCATCCATCAACTCGTAGAACCGATTAATATGTTCTCTTGGTGACTCATTTTCAAGTCCATGAAATTGGATGTTGCTTTGGATCATGGTGATGAGAACGGTCTTGATCTCAAAATTTTGGCCATCACGGGTGGATGTCTGATAATAAGTTGAATATAACCGCCCATACATACTAGAAATATAATAGTAGAGTTGATAGTAGTTTATCAACATTTTAACATTTATATATTTCTTATTCATAATTGTTTTTATAAATCTTGAGATTTGAACCATAGTCTCGTTAAACAAGGACATGATCATTATCAATAAACTAAATGAATTAATGGACTTTTTAACCTAAAAATATACAAAAAGCTAAAATCTTAAAATCTTATGACTTTTTCATTATTCTTAGCTAGTCCACTAAAATCTTAATATTTCTTTTTTCATATTTTGAGTATTTTAATTTAATTTTAACAATTTATTTAGTCACTGAGTGGAAATAAACATTCAAAATATTTTAAAAATCTCAAAATGCACATAATAAATATGTTCCAAATAACTTGGTTAATAATAGTTTTTCTATTTATTACATCTTTCCCATTTTCATTACAATTCACAATCCAACATCTGGGTTTCTCTAGAAGTATATGCAACTGGCTATCCAAAGTATATCTCTATAACTCCATGGCTACTTATTGCATGCACTAACCCTCCTTCTTCCTTTGATCCTTCGTAATACTAAACCAACATCTAGGGGTGGATTTTTCGGTTATTTCGGTTATAACCGGTAACCGAATGGTCGGTTATCGGTGAACGAAAAGGCCGACCCCCAACCGACAACTGATCGAAATAGGCTTCGGTTAACTCGGTTATAGGTTAACCGCACATCCTCCAGAACCAAAACCATCTCGTCCAGCATCCGATAACCGACCAAATTTCGGTTAGCTCAGTTACCAGTTAGTGGATAACCGACGGTTATCAGTTTAACCGGAAACCAATAACCAAAACTCCACCCCTACCAACATCAACCTAGAACTATCCCTCAACATAACGTGCATGCAAATCTTTAAATTGCGCTAACCAATCGGGGTCTCATCATGAACTAGGTGTGTAGACTTCTAATTCGCCGCACATTAATCCCCGACTATGTCTATTTGACAAGTCTTCAAATGCCTCTTGCCGGTCTCTTTATGGTTTTGCCACATCCCATAATCCTGCTGTCTTTCCACAAAGATATCCTCCTTAATAAAATGACAATATCATGGAAGGAAAACAGAGAAAAATGGTAGAAATTGGCTATATATATGAAATTTAAGAGCTCCAAAGAAGCAACGATGCATCAAAGACTGTAGCGATAAAAGGAAATCTTAATAAGAAGTCATTAAATTAGCCGAAATCAAGATTTCAGAGAACAAATATAGAAGAAAAGAAATCGAAAGATAACAAGAATTTCATGTTAAATTGGCCTCTATCCTTGTTACGAGAAATCCAATTCATGTTACCTAAAACCAAGGAGGGGGATGAGATGCATGACAGTTGTGATAACAAGTTAGAGATGTTACACAATGTTGAAAGTTGTAAATGATAGTTAGTATATTCCTATTTTGATGTATTCACCATTTTACAGTCTGGTATGTTCATACTATCACGATACACTTTCATACCACGTGGTACGCTCTTATGTGATACCAAATAATACCATCATGGTATAGACAGGTACCAAATATCTCAAAAATTTTTATTTAAAGAATATATCAAGTGGATATTATTTTGAAGATGACAATTTATCTAATTTATCTATGCAAAAAAATTCGACTTAAAACGAAAAAGATATAGACATTTAAAATTTAGAGGTCGTTTGATTGTAGGATTTTAAAAAATGAAGGATTTAGGTAAAACACTCGATTTTATGTATGAAGGATTATGTGAGATTTTGTCACTTTGAATTTTTGTTGGATTTTAAAACTTGCTTATTTGCTTGTTAGATTTCATATTGGATTTGTGTCCATGAGATTTATTAATTATAAGCGGAATTTACATTTGTATCCGTAATGATTTGTGTCCTTGATGTTCAATATAGAAAATATTGAAAAGAGATGAGGATAGATCCATCATTTATCATCATGGATTTTAGCCTCCCACAAAATCTCAACTAAATAGGTGAGATTTTATAATCCTTAGACCCACGGATTTTGACCTCATAATAATCCCACATACATGGGCCCACACACTATAATCCAACACCCTTTTAACACCAAACATGCACTTTGTGCATAATTTCATGGGTGTGGGATTTAGAAGGTTCTATAAATGATAAGGTTGCAGGTTATACATGATTGTGAATCACAAAAATGTGCACGAGAATGGCTCCCGTAAAGAAGGCCAAAACCTTATAGTCATTTAATATATTTTAAGAAGTATATATAATGTAAATTAATCGAGAAAAAAGAAGAAGAGATGAAGTTAGTCATCGCGGTGCATGAAGAGGACACCTGTCGTCGACGGTAGATTAAAAAAAAATGAAACTTCCCGACTTGGGAAAAGGAAGATCAAAAGTCAAAACTATGCAAGACGAGCAAATAATCGCAAAAAAGAAAACAGAAAAGTAAATTCCATCGCGGATGGAGTTAGGGTTTGTCTTTCTCCTGGAAACAATTCGCGACATTACAAAAGGTTCTCAATTCATATTCATCTCATTCTGCAAGGCTTTAGGGTTTTAGGTTCACAAAAATCTTTCGTCAGCAAGCTCGTTTGGAAGCCTGAAGTAAGCGATGCCTCCACGAATCCTGAAGCGCGGAGCGGCGGCATCTGGATCTAAGAAGGGCGGTAGAGCCGTGCGAGGGACCAGCAAGACCCAGAATCATCAGCCCGAAGTTGTCGAAGAGGTCCCAAAGATAGAGGAAGGAACAATCATCGATGAAAAGCCTGTTCTCCAGGAGAAGCTGGAGGTTGACGACAAACCATTCGTTGAACGAAGGTCGGTTCTTGAAGCTGATGAGGGATCCAAATCGAACCTTAAGCGCTCGTCATCGTTGAAAAGTATGCACCTTTTTATCTTGCTCCTCTTTATGGCTGAATTGGGCTATATCCTTATCGTGGTTTTAGATTCATGACCTGATCTTCTATGTGCATCAGTCGCTAACCTCTTCCATTACATTCCCATCTGCCTGATTTCCCGTATCCCTCAATTATATTTTCCATATTGGCTTTGGCCTTTTCATAAATCCGTAGTTCACTAGGTGGAGGATTTTTTTTATTACTTTTGTCGAAATCTCCTATTGCTCGGTCTAGTAGGCTTTGTAGAGTTTATGTTTCGGTTGGTTCAGAGTCTTAGGAATCAATTGTTGCTTAAAGTATGACATGTGCCTATGATCATACTAGAGATCACAACCTCTAAATCTTAAATGGTTGCAAAATTTGTCGAGGGTAACCGAGGATTGTATTTTTTAAAAGGATGAACGGTTAGAGCTTGATGATAATGAGCATGAATAAGAACCTGAAGAATACGGCATTGAAGACTACGATGAGAAGGAAATTGACGAAGATGATGACCAGGGGGTTGGGGAGGAAGGGGTAGAAGAGCTAGAGGAAGATAATGGAGTGGAAGAGGAAGAGGGTGATCTGGTGGTGGTGGAGGAGGAGGATGAACTGGAGGAGGTTCCTGAAGAAGTTGAGGTTGAGGAGTATGATGATCCTACTGGTGAAGAACATACTGAGATGGTAGATGCAACTGAAGAGGATGAGCACCATGAAGTTTTTAAGGAGAGGCGCAAGCGTAAGGAGTTTGAGGTCTTTGTTGGCGGTCTGGATAAGGATGCCACTGAGAGCGATCTTCGGAAAGTTTTCGGTCGAGTTGGCGAGATCACTGAAGTGCGACTGATGATGAATCCATAGACGAAGAAAAACAAAGGGTTTGCATTCCTGCGGTTTTCTAGTGTTGAACAAGCCAAACGGGCTGTTACTGAGTTGAAGAATCCAGTGGTAAATTTCATCACAAGATTTCTTGAATGTCATGCAAATTCAAGACACAACCTAAATTACATTTTAATGATTGCGCTTCCAAGGATAAGTGATATGCTCCTGATTTGTGGCCATTGAATTTGGTTCCAGTTGAAAGAGAAATTGAAACATTATGGAGTTGATAATGTTGAGCACTTGGCCCTGGTTGAAGATAGTAACAGTGGAGGGATGAACCGAGGGTATGCTTTTGTGGAATTCTCATGTCGGTCAGATGCCATCAATGCTCTTAAGCGTTTGCAGAAGAAGGATGTTTTATTTGGAGTTGATAAGCAAGCAAAGGTTTCTTTTGCTGATTCCTTCATTGACATTGGGGATGAAATAATGGCACATGTATCCTTCACTCAACTGTTCTGAAGTACGCATTTCAACAATGGTTGGGTTAGTTAACATAACTACACTACGGATTTCTCATTTTATGGTGATAGGAATCTCGCTAGCCAACAAATCTTTTAGTCTTCCTCTCTTTTTGTTGAAGTGAGCATTGTCAGTGGAACTTGTGATGGAACTTCACCCACTTTTGTTTGTATACCTGTGTTTTCATTCCACATATTTAAGTTTTGCACTACATTGAAGTTCTTATATTACTTCAGTACTATCATAGTGTGAAAAGTGTAACAATCATGCCTCTGGGTGTTGCGTATGGTTGATTTCAGTTTATTTTGTGAATTCAGGTGAAGACTGTATTTATTGATGGCCTTCCTTCTTCATGGGATGAGGACCATGTCCGGGAGCTATTAAAGGTGTATGGAAAGATTGAGAAGGTTGAACTTGCTAGAAATATGCCATCAGCCAAGCGGAAAGGTTTTGGTTTTGTCACCTTTGATAGTCATGAGGCTGCAGTAACCTGTGCAAAAAGTATCAATAATGAAAACATTGGTAAAGGAGATAGTAAGGTTTGTAGCACCCCTTGCTTTTACTGTTATTGAGCATTAACCACTTGATGGTTCAGCTTTGGAACGCTTTCATTGTGGCGTTATATATCAGGCTAAAGTTAGGGCTCGGTTGTCAAGGCCTCTTGAGAGAGGAAAAGGTAAAAATTTGAGCCGTAAAGATGTTCGTCCTGGACGCCGAACTGGTAGCAGGGGTCCATGGGTTAGGTCTGCCCCACGTAGCCTGACTTCCCGTTCGGGAAGAATGGCTGGAAGTCGTATCTCGCCACCCTCTATGAGAAGGCATGCTGGACCGCGAGAGCATCATGCCCCTGTGACGTCTGAACCAGCAAGAAGCAGGCCTCTGGCCCCTCCTCGCTCTTATGATAGAAGGGCACCTGGTGTGTATCAATTCAACTCCTTTGTTGTACGTTTGTTCAGACTCCCCAAATACTTAATAATGTATGCTTGTATTTTTCAGTTCCATCATACCTGAAGAGTAGCTTGAAAAGGGAATATACTCGCCGTGATGAAGTACCACCGCCAAGAAGCCGAGCTGCCATTGATTACTCTTCCAGGGATATTCCAGAGAGAAGCCAATCCTATAGAGATGAATATTCTTTACGAGGTTCTGGGTACCCTGATCTTTCTAGAAGTAGTTTTCGTGGATCTGCCAGGAGAGCTTATGTGGATGATGCCTATGTCCAGAGATTTGAAGGGCCCCCTCCAAGTTATCGTGAAGGACGTGCTCATGATTATGACTCTTTCTCTGGTTCAAAACGTCCTTATTCTATGATGGTTGGTTATTGATTTCTAGTCTCCATTGTCTTCTCTGTTTAAGGATTCTTCACATTCAACAAATTACTGAAATGTTTGTGTCTCTTCGGTTCCCGAGAGATGTTGTTTGAGAAAGTGGAATGGATGGTCACCACTTAATTTGTGTATGAATATGATGACAGAGATGCTGCTCTAGGATGTTGGCAATTTGGAGATTAAATTTGACATTTGAGATTCGTACACTTTGGAGAAAGCAAGCCTGTGAAGCTGTGCCCGAGTATCAAGTCAGAGAAGTTATCTAGAAGTTGTATAGAAAAAGGACTGATTTGGTTCAAGTATTGTGATATACACATTGGATACATTATAAATTTTATGGTGTAAACTCCAGCTGTGTAGAAATGAAAATGAGAACCTGTGGTATTCATGTATGCGGTTGATCTGTTTTATTTTACTATTCAGCTCCTATCTGATGGAGACGTCACACTCGGAAAGAGATCGAGGTTTCCCAGTATTGCAAAGAATTTAGGTGTGTTTCCAGAGGAGTGATAGGATTTGGTGGAGTGCTGTTGGGCTTCGTTCGATGTACTTTCTGTAGTATTTCATGCTAGCCTCAGTTATTAAAGGGGAGCAAAGTAACTGAACTCCGTGGAAACTCAGTTACTCATGCTGTGTATTCTTGGAACACGGCTTGAAATCTAAATGAAGCTAGTAACTTGGCTTTATCTTTGCAGGAACTACAACGCATTTACAAGTAATTCTTGTGCTTGGGACGCAATATGAGCTGTACAACAACAAATGGGCGATAAGAAATCTAGCTAGATGAGTCATAACCGGTTCACCAGATTAATCGGCAAAATTAGTTGACTCGGTTAATCAGCAAACCCTGATTCCACCGCCTCTACCTGTCGTCATTCTCTTGGGTTGTTCCGGCGGTCCCACTAAGTTTCGATGCGACCCTGTAGAAAAGTAGGGACTGAATACATAGAAGGAATGATGATCTGAATTGGGCATATTATATACATTTTAAAGATAGTAAGGGAATTTCGTAGGAATTTTAGATCGTATTTCCTTATTAAAGTATCTATTTTGTTGCAGATATAACTCATTCCATGTTGCTGTCCGCACATCGTCTTTGCAGCAGGGAGTGAGGGAAAGGAGACGTATATGAGAGAGTAGGGTTAGGCGCGAGACGGCTGGGAGAAGGGATAGAGGAGGCGGTTGAATCCAGCGATTGGGCATGTTGACAGTTGACACACGCAACGGGGAGAACAAGGACGATAGAGGATCGTTGGGAGTGTGGGAGGTTGGGGACAGGTTACGGTGATTACTACTTGGTAGTAATCACCATGGTTATTAAGGGTAAATTGGATATGGGAAAATAAATTGTGTTAATTAATTTTTTTAATAAATTTCATTTTAGGTAGTTACAAAAATCTATTAATTACAATTCTCTCTCTTTCTCTCACTTTCTTAATCTCCAGCCAGATTCGCTTCCTTATTTTTCTCAATCTATCTGCAAAAAAAAAAAAACACGAAATCACTACCAATCTATTAGATAACCACTACCACTTTGAAAAACATCAATACTATTGAAGAAATAAATCTATAACATTACACGTAAACTACCAATAGAAACAATCTAACAATATAAATATAAATCTATACCATTTCACAAAAAATCAATACCATTGCAGAAGGAAAAAAACAAGAAACCAATACCAAAACGTTAACAACTACCACTGCAGCCTACACGAAACACTACCACTACCACTTATTAACAACTACCATTGCAGATTTAACAATACCAATGCATGAAAATTAATACCAATAAGATAATAACAATGCAAAAAAAACACCATTATATGATATTCAATACCAATGCAAAAAAGAAATACAACTATGAAAATATCAATACCAATAGAAAAGAACCAGATCTGAAATCTGCCCGAATGCCCCAAATCGACGACATGTCTTCGATCTCGCTGAGTAGAGAGAGTGATATATATATATATATATATATATATATATATATATATATATATATATATATATATAGAGAGAGAGAGAGAGAGAGAGAGAGAGAGAGAGAGAGAGGTGTGGATCGTGGAGGGAGAGGGAGAGGGAGGGGAGTAGAAGGGCGGCGGTAGGGTGGGGTGGGTTAGGGTTGGGAAGATGAGGGTTACAGGCTGAGGGTGGCAGGCGGCTAGAGGTTCTCGGCGGGTAGGGATAGGGAGGAAGGGGAGATGTAGATGATTGGAGTTAGAGATAACTAGTTTTTTACCCGCCCGTTGGGCGGTGTATTTTGTTTGGTTATTTTAATTCGTTATAGCATTCTAATTGTTATTATTATTTATGTTTGTTAAGGTAATATATATAGAATTGTAAATCCCATTTACCTTATTTCAGGTATTGTTTCATACTTTTATACCTTTTGTTTATTTATGAACATTTTAATTTTATTAACTGAGCTCTTTGTATATTGTTCTTTATTGATTTAGATTTTTTTATCGAACTCTCCCTTTAACATTATAAACATAAGAGTTATTCATTCTTTAGCACACAATTGTGATAAAGAAGTTAAAAAATTTACAGCCACAAAAGAAGAAGTTAGAATAAGAAAATATGCTTCAATTAATAATAAAAAAAGCGAAGAGCTTTTTATTTTCTCTCCCTTCTCATATGTCGGTATACATAATAGAGAATATTCCGATCTAAATCTCATGAATATCGTGTATTATCACTTACACATACAACTTTGGAATAATGAGGAAACTCATTAGCATCCACGTCCATCAATCTTCCACGTACTCGTTTAATTACCTTGAAATGTTCTAGAAAACCAACCACAAACAACACTATCAGCTGTCACAAACTTATTAAAGCAATATTTTCAGCAAATTAAACTGCATATACTTAAATACAATTTATATTTTGTAGAGAGCTACATATCTCCAGCGAAAAAGAATTGTGATTTTTATCTAATAACAACATAGAAAAATAATGAAATGAGCATTTTTCAATACAACTCAACTCATTTTATCATGCAGATTCCTCATTTGTGAACTGAATATATGCATCAATCCAAATAGTAGTTTGTAAGAAAACAATCATGTCAAAATCAAACTTTAGTTAGGGATTCAATGCCGAAAAATTTAGCTTAATGAAACAAACAAATGTCGCCGCAAACATGTAGAAATTTAAAAAAATCGAAATAGACAACTGAGAAACCACCATTATCATTTTCTTTCTTCCTCGCGACCTTTATAAAACCCCAATTATGTTCCCTTCTACTTATAACCTCTTTGCTACCTACTAATTACTAAAGAGATCATCATTGTATTGCTAGCTAGTAGCATGTCAATCATGAACATAAAATATAATAAACAACCATCACAACTCTTCTTTCTATTTCAACATTCAAGAAATCGGGTTGCAATAGGCATTCAAGAAAAACGATCAATTATTCAATCAAATGAGGTATGCCCTAAGTCCAACCAATGAACCCTTCTAATTATATTTTATATATTTAAATAAAAGTATATGAAGACCCCTCTCATTGAAAAACAAAGAAGAAATACATTCACTCATCGAGAGTGAAAAAATTTACCATCAAGCAGTTATAATCTGGAAGAAATTAAGAAAAGAATGGGAAGAAGAGTATAACTCGGCCAGTCAACCGCAAACAATAACGTATCGCTGAGAAAGTGAGACCAGTTGCCAGCTTCAGATCAAGGAGGAAGAAGGAGCAGTCGACAACCCTCGGCTTGGTTCACCTCATCTTCACAATGAGCAGATGAACTTTTTTCGTTAACAGACAAAAATATGTTACAACTGTTCAAAATTTTGTCATTTAATCGTTGTCTTGTGTAACTCCTGCCTCCTATTCTCATACAAAGAAAAAAAATCATATGCATTACCATTTCCTTCTCTATAAATTATGAGAATACAAATATTATAAATCTCAAAAAAATTAGCAACTAATAAGAGGGTTTTGTTTATTTTTATGGTGGTTGACATACTTTCTTGATTTCTTATTTTCAAAGTTTGATTTATTTCTAGTGGGACAATCAAAATGGGAAAAGGGACAAAACCAAATTAAAATTTTGCATTAATAATTAATATGTTTTTATTTAATCGGAATAAATAAGAAGTTTTTTAAAAAATAACAATTATTGCTCTGTCAAGTTTATATTCAAACATTTTGCTATAAAATTTATACGTGTTTTATTTGATAGGTATATACAGTAGAAAGAAGTGAGTGTTTGATAGCAAAAAAACATATAGTCATATCGATCATTTCTCAAAGTTGATTGATTATCAAACACTTATTTTCTCTTAGACCATCGTTTATATTTTGTTTAATTGAAAATATTATTATTTATGTGTGTGTGCTTTTTCTTTTTTGCTTCATCAAAATGTAACTTCTTATTAAATTTTAGTAAAAATGAGTAGAAAATTTACTTAATCAGATTTAATCAGTTTGGGTTAAACAAATACGATATATCACTCTTTGTTTCCATCTTTATAGTTTGTTTAATTGGAAAAAAGATGATTACTTATGTATGTGTTTGTTTGTTTAAATAATTCCTAAAAAATTAACTTATTTTAATTTTAGTAAAAATGAGTAGAATTATTAAAAGAAGAGAAAGATAGCTTCATAAATAGATCAATAAATAGTTTTTTGTTTGTAAAAAAATTGTCCACCTTGGCAACTTGTGCATTCACCAAGTGCTTATGTGGCAAGAAGTTATTTTTGAATAGCCATAATATTTAGTATAGATAGATAGATAGATAGATAGATAGATTATTTAGGGTTTACATAATATATGGTAAGTCATATTTTAAGGATGGTAATCTGGTGTATCTATTATTTTTTTCCAAACTTATCTCTAATTAATTATGAGCATCGGTTTAAATATATTGAGAATGAATGGAGGAGATGTAGGTAGCCACGATGGCTAATATAAAATTGGTAAACATCCTAACTCATCCCTGGGAGGTTGGGTGGATGGTGCTGCCGGCGAAATAAGAATGCGCAAAAGGTCGGCAGAGGGTACAATTGCTTATCGATAAAGAGGTGAAGAATCATTAGGAATTTTTGGGGTTTGTTATTTTTTTTAATTTGATTTTATTAATGTAGGATAATTTAGTACTTTT